CAGAGTGTGTGTTTGAGTGTGTGTTCAGAGTGTGTGTTCAGAGTGTGTGTTTGAGTGTGTGTTTGAGTGTGTGTTTGAGTGTGTGTTCAGAGTGTGTGTTTGAGTGTGTGTTCAGAGTGTGTGTTTGAGTGTGTGTTCAGAGTGTGTGTTCAGAGTGTGTGTTTGAGTGTGTGTTTGAGTGTGTGTTCAGAGTGTGTGTTCAGAGTGTGTGTTCAGAGTGTGTGTTTGAGTGTGTGTTCAGAGTGTGTGTTTGAGTGTGTGTTCAGAGTGTGTGTTTGAGTGTGTGTTTGAGTGTGTGTTTGAGTGTGTGTTCAGAGTGTGTGTTTGAGTGTGTGTTTGAGTGTGTGTTTGAGTGTGTGTTTGAGTGTGTGTTCAGAGTGTGTGTTTGAGTGTGTGTTCAGAGTGTGTGTTTGAGTGTGTGTTCAGAGTGTGTGTTTGAGTGTGTGTTCAGAGTGTGTGTTCAGAGTGTGTGTTTGAGTGTGTGTTTGAGTGTGTGTTCAGAGTGTGTGTTCAGAGTGTGTGTTCAGAGTGTGTGTTTGAGTGTGTGTTCAGAGTGTGTGTTTGAGTGTGTGTTCAGAGTGTGTGTTTGAGTGTGTGTTTGAGTGTGTGTTCAGAGTGTGTGTTCAGAGTGTGTGTTTGAGTGTGTGTTTGAGTGTGTGTTTGAGTGTGTGTTTGAGTGTGTGTTCAGAGTGTGTGTTTGAGTGTGTGTTTGAGTGTGTGTTCAGAGTGTGTGTTCAGAGTGTGTGTTTGAGTGTGTTCTCGTGTTCTGTCTCTTTGCAGGCTCCAGCAGACGCTCCAGATCCGGTTCTGCAGGGTTCTGCAGTGAGCTGTGATCTGGAGGAGACTCGGTGCGCGCTCACACTGACCCAGAGACGACTGCAGGACCTGCAGCGAGAGCGAGAGCGGCTGCAGACCGAACTGCAGAACACACTGCAGCACAGAGAGAGCGCACACACACACACACAGGTACAGCACGCTCTATGAGCATCCTGTCAACTCCTGTAACACTCAGTAATACAGGAGTGTGTGTGTGTGTGTGTGTGTGTGTGTGTGTGTGTGTGTGTGTGTGTGTGTGTGTGCATGTGTGTGTCCTCTGGCAGGACCTGCGGCAGGCGGTGGAGCAGCTGCGCTCTGAGCTGCAGGTAAAGGTGTGTGAGCTGCGTGATCGGGAGGTGCAGGCGCAGACACACATTGCAGACAGAGACCGAACCATCGCGCAGCTGCAGCAGAGCTTGAGCCGCAAAGACAAACAACTGCAGGTGGCGCTCTTCCCCACTTATACTGGAGTGTGTGAGCAATCCTGCAGCGAGGGTCCCAGTAAACATCTGTGTGTGTGTGTGTGTGTGTGTGTGTGTGTGTGTTCAGGAGTACTCAGAGCTGCTGAATCCCTCATCTGACTCCAGTGGAGTGGTGGACAGAGACACACTCCTGCAGACACTGAGGAGACGCATCCGAGAGCGGGACAGAGC